ATATAGCTCATTTATGCGTTTTATGAAACCACGGTTCTTGTGGAATGCTAGTTTACTGGAGACAACATTAAACCATTTAAGGTCAATACAGTCGTTCAGTTGAAGTAATTTCATTGTTACTCGTCCTCTGGGGACGGCAGAGTCCAATTTTATTATAGACACATAGTTTGGTTGAATTAATTACTGATTGATCGTTTTTTTGTTGGCGTAGTGACCTGACATTGACTTCCATTCATACATCCTAAATTAAACTAAGAAAAAAGTGTGGATTATTAAAGGCCTACACACCTCGCTCTTGATCGCCAATGAATGCATCTTTGTCTTATGAATGCTTAAACCCAGGACCCAAAAGAAATGGCAAAGACATTTTTTCGGAGTGTGGCCGTTTTTTTTTCTTCTTTTTTCCCACAATTAAATCACAATGTTTAGAATGGATTTGTGCAAAACGACCAGACCTCACGCCCGACATTTGGAGTGTAGAGTTAAGAACAGGAGCGCGTTTAACGTTGCCACCTGGACAAACTTCCATCGTGGTTGAAAAACATTCGGCGGTTTGAGGGTTTCCCCGGAACTTGAGGCCCTCAAAAACAGCCAGAGGTAGAAGAAAGGTTTCATCTGATCCATCAAACTTACACCGAGGAGCCATTTCCCAACCTCCGTTATTCCCTTTATGTGCGACCGTTATCCCTTCACTTAAACGCGCTTTGCTCGGCTGAAAAAAACGACTCAAGGTGCCCGAGGGAAACAAAACAGGCTCCAGCCTCATTGGTTATAAACCACACCTTGGATCTCTACTCGATGGGTAATTTCCATCTGGCTACAAACGGAACACTTTAAAAAGGGAACGATTGTCAACTCTGACAACATGAGAGATGTTTCACAGGTTAGTCGGGGTTTGGATGCTGTTTGCAGTCGTTTGGAGGCAACGTCCTGATTGGCTGCTTTAAGGCGGAGCGTGCCGAGGACGTGCACTCTACAGTTAGTTGCTCGGTTACGGAAAGTACAAGGGGGGCACTGTCCTCGTATAATGGAAGGTCTCGTTTGATGTATATACAATCTTCCGCTCTTTTTCCCACACACACACACACACACACACATGCTCATTCACTGAATGGAGTTGGGGGAAAAGTATTACTATAACATGTTTCACAATGTCTCCTTTTGGTGGACTCACGTTTTGTAGCAGGACGCGTTGGTGTGGGTGGAGCTTAAGGCGGTTGGCTTCATTATGCAGCCATCTCTGTTCATTTAACCCCCCCCCCTCTCTCTCTCTCTCTCTCTCTCTCATATGTGAAAAGACTAATTAAAAGGCTCAGACTGGTTTGGTTCAACTAAGTTAAATATTGAAGTGTCATATTTCATGCTGTAGCCTGAGGGAAGCCCACTATGAGCCAAAGATAAGTGACCGACACACACGTTTGTTAGTTCATTCTTACTTTTTTTGTGTGAACCCCAATTACAAAATGACCCCCTTTACTTTATTTTTAACGGTTCGGAATTAAAATGTTTATACGCCCGCTCAGACTAAACAAAGGAAGAAAGGATTGTTGATGAGTGTGGGAAGGATTTAGCCAGTTTGTTCAAAGGTGCATTTAAGTGCTGCCACATTAAAGGACGCAACATAAGGATGACTTCAAGATCACAACCCACCACGGGCTAAACGCTGGTCCAATGACCTTTGAACTTTATTTTAAAAAGTAGAACAATATCGTATTGGTTGATTATAAATGTAAAGAAATTTTACAATTGTCCTCATTTAACAGCTCATAGTGACACTAACAACTCTGTTCTGTATGCACGCTTGTTTAAATATTAGATTTCAGTAGTATCAGTATGGTAATGATGTGAAAATGTGCAGAGGAAGTTTATTATCCAAGATGACCTTCACAACAGAGAGATCTCTTAACACCTGGAAACAATTACTTAATGGTAAATGGCTTATTAAGACGTTCAAAGGAAAAATGACAGCCGCAAAATTAGCGCCAAGAAAAGGTCAAATGTTCATATAAGAAATGAACTTGAGAGACTGACACGTTAAACGTTTAATTTCAGCATTTTGCTTTGAAAGATTGACTTTTATAGAATAATGACGTGGGTGTAACAGCTGTCACCCTTTGATGGAATGTTAGAATAATGTCTAGTGTGTTTTTGAAATCAATAATATCTGGTCACAGCGATAACAATGGGTGAAGACGTTAGTTAGTCCTGGAAAGACAAAAAGAGGTAGATACAACAGCACCGGCGCTATCTGCTGGTCAGTGTGAAAAAATATTCTTTATGGTCTGTGCATTCAACGCTTTCCCTCCTCCCTCTTTTTTGTACTGAATATTACTTCCCAAACATAAATGAAATAAAAACAAGAAGCCTATAATTTGCATTTATTGAGGGTAACGGTCTCAAATACCTCAAGGGGAACCCTCTTGTCAATCAAAACAAAACTTGTCAAACAGTTAAAAACTCTGTGGACGTCGAACAAGCTGCGTAAATATTTACATTCATTCTTTAGGATATTTCATCCCACTGGCAGCGACAGCGTCTGGTCGCCCAACGTGAGTCACTGCTCTGATCTGCCGTTCTCCTCCAAAGACCTCACATTCCTGAAAGCACAAATTAGAAATCCGCTTCGCTCTCCATGCGAATGCATTTAGCTGTATTGTGGAAATGACAAGTCATAAAGGTATGACACCAGCGTAATTGCCGATTATGAAGCATTTGGTGGTTTTGGGTTTAGATAATCGTGCCAGGAAAGACGATCTGAATGTAATGTGTATATACTGAAGACGTGAACAAAACAATTGGAGGAAAAAGGTTTTCTGTTGGCTTCCTCGCAGTTCTCCCACACTCCCAGGACGATTCTGTAATGATCGTTTGCTGGATTATGTATGACAAAGCAATACATTTTTAATTTCAATTAAATTTCCCCAAACACATCCACACTGTAGGAGCTATTCTGTTTCTGCGTTAAGAGAGAATGAAGATGAAACCTGTGTGCATTTGTCCCGAGGAATCAGCTTGAGCTTTGTGTTTTTTGCAGAATATTTCTTTTGTGCAACTCTCAACATTAGCAACCCTACAGTACGGCCACGTTTGGAATGGAACTCATTGTAAATATGGGGATGGATGCTCCATGTGCACCAGGGACAACACGTGTTTTTTATGATTAAATGACTGCTTGTAGCCTACATTTTTTAAGTGATTGAACATGCAGAAAATAAACCTGTGGATCATGTTATGCCACAGCCCTCTTTAGTCGGACCTTATCCTTTAAACTCAAATGCAAGGACATAATATATCCTCGTTAGACAGCTGCTTCTGCAGACAAACGATCCAGGGATTTGAGTTGCATTCATACGGAACCGCCGCTAGAGGGCGAAAGTAGCGCGCGTATGAACTCCTTCTGACTACTGACGTCACGGCGGCGGCACGGTGTTCGTTTAAACTGATGTGTGACGTCATAGTGTCCGCGGGTTCTTCCGTGCGGCGTCGAGAATTCTCCTGCGTGGTCATTGCAGTCGAGTCTCTCCTGTGGCCTCCTTCCTCGCGCCCTCGGTGCCTCCTCTCCTTAGTCTCGACCACTTGCAGGAGCAGGATTTGAGTTCGGGTCTGGAAATCGGGAGGACCGGAACCAGACGGGGATCCAAGTCCCGCAGTTCTACTTTCCTTTTAATAAAGGAAGTGCAGGACGGTCCAGTGTCAAGTCTCTTCATTATTTTGATCTTTTATTTTGTTTTTTTAAACCTCATATTTCTGCATACTATACCAAGATGATTACATTTTACACTATAATGGTGTAAAATGTAAATGATCGACATAAAGAACTATGGCTTTTTAAAACCTTTTGAAACTATACTTTGACATGAATTTGTGTAACTTTTTCAACACCATTTTATTTGTAATGACATTTTTAAAAACATTATTTCCACATACTACCTATGACTTTTAGCTTTTTTTGATATGACTGACTTTTCAAACCATTACACTTTTTCATTGTATAATAAAGCAAAGGTCCTAGTACAGCATGCTGAAAAAGAAAAGAATGTTTTGTAAACTAGTGTGACCCAAAAAAAGTCAAAATAGAACATAAGTGTACGAAAAGCTCACTGTACAGTCAGTCAAAATGGTTATAAAAAAGCCTGGTATAGTATTTTGAAAATATGTCATGATGTGATCACGTATGTGGAGTGGCAAAAGAATTCAGTTTTCATAAAGGTTTGAGGGCAACTGGATTTTCAGAGCCTCATAAGAGTGGTGGAAATATAAAAGTGGCAAAAACAATCCTAATGAATATAATAGAATCGTTCCAAAGTAAATAAAGTCCAATAAAACATGAGCTTCTCCTCTCAAATGTAGTAGGTGGTATAAAATAGATATTATAGCAAAATTCTCCAGCATCGCTTCAAACTGGATTAGTTTGTGCAGATTATCAATATGGAAACATCTTTAGAAACTATTCAAACAAGACCTTGGTATTCTGTTTAGTAGTCTTAAAATTTCTGACATGCTAGTGTGCACATTTACTGTGAAAACACATGTTGAAAGAATTAAGATAACACCGTTGGAAAAATTGTAAATAAAATAAAAGCTTGTCTATAAATTTGTATTTGCATCATTTCCTCACAGACTGATCAAATAAAGAACGTAAACCTTAATTAGTTCCTGCAGCTCCTGGACCACCAAGTACAAGTGTGCATTATAGTGTTTATTACGGAGAGCTCCAATTAGCCCACCAGACTCATCCTGCACAGACTGTGGAATCTTTGAAACGTTTTTTTTAATCTTTCATTTCAGGGTTATTTACGGTGAAAACACCCGAGTGGGCGGAGGTGGCTGCAGCTCTTAAAGCAGCTCCCGCGCTACTTGAAGGTCACATTTCAGACGCTTCCTCGGCTTCTCGTGGAAGCAGAGTGCGAGTAAACTTTCCGAAAGAGTTTGAAAGCGGAGAAGAGCGTCCTGCAGCGACGGCCGCACGGAGATCAAACAATCACACAGTTCAGCCGTGGTTAAAGATGACCAGCTTTCTCTTTTATTGAAAAATATAGCTGTTATTCCAAAAGCGAGGGAGAGTGAAGAAGGTAAATATATTAATATACTGTAAAACCAGAATAGGAAAAGAGAACAGTACATACTTGGCACTACATTACAGCCAGGGAATACAAGAAAAGAAAAAACATTCAACAGCAAAACTCGGGACACTTTCTTTTTCCACCGTCTGGACCTTTTTTTTTTTTGCCTCTCCCCAAAACGCTGCTACCCGAGCACAAATAAACTTAAGTATAAGCACATTCCTTTCATGATGCTTCATTTCGGGACTTCCCTACAGAGACGATTTGGGCCTAACGTAGTACGCTTTCCCATGATGCTCCGCCCCCCTCCTCCGTTTCTCCCTGTGAGCACGACTAGGTGCACATCTAGTGAACCTTTTATTGTAGTTCTCACGCCAGTTCAGGTTTCTTCTGGTGTCCATTTCTCGGAGAAGAACGTGACAGACTGAAGCTCCCCGACTGATTAAAATCATACTGCGTATAAAGACTAGTTTGTCCTTTTCCCCCACAACTAAATCTAAACATCCGGCTAACGATATGGTCAGAACGTACTTGGCGATTCTCTCCAGATCTCTTGCAACTTCTTGCTACCTGTTTACGGAGACGTTGCTCCCCAAAATATTAGGACAACCCGAGGCAGGAAATTTAAAAGCTCCCATTGTCCAAACGTGCCAGCTGGTTCTCTAACACCAAATGACCAGTTTTCTTTAAAAAAAGGTCACTGCGCGTGCCTCATTATCACAAGCCAGCCCACCTGGCAGCTTCCTGGAGCAGCTCCACCTGGTCGGGGGCCGATGATCCGGCACGTTTAGGCTGCGTCGAGGAGGTGGACAGTATTACTTGTGGGGGCCCGTTTGGAGCCCCCGGGACACACCGGACGCCCGTCTTTCAAGCGCTCTAATAACACTGTGCACGTTGAGACGTCCTCCGCCCCCAGAGACGAGCCTGAACACGGGGCTAAAAAGGAAGGAGGGGTCGTCTCCCGGATAGAGCCATAATTGATTCGAACCGTATCCCCGGCAACCGCCCCCCCTCTCCTCCTCTTTAACTTTCTTTATGCTATCGGAGCAACCTGTGTGGAATGAGATGTAGTGACACACAAGCGGCCATGATCCCCGCATCTGTCCGGTGGTTTCATAGGACACGGGACACATACACGAGGCCTTCTCTTTCCACTGTGCGCTCTTTGTTTATGCAAATAAAAATGAAAAAACTTCACAAACAGCGGAGGATTTGTCTAATTGAGGCCGATCGTGACAGCGATCGCAGGAATGTTGTAACGAAGCTCACTCGGTTGTACCATTAAGAACCCCCACATGTCCGAACCTCCTCCTCTCCCAAAACTAAACTTTTAAGATCTACGCAGTGCACATTGAGTAATCCACGTTATGAAAAACTACCACAGCTCTCTGACAATTTACAAAATGAAGACAGCGGGCAAAATGATAAACTGAAAAACAACAGGCGAATATAGATCGACTTCCTCTATGCTCAAGAAATAACAAAATAACAGAAATCACCCCTTTAAGTCTGACGAGGACAAAAGGAAAATCTACTTAGCATCGATGCAAAGACATTGTCATCAAATAAAACTCCATGATCACTTCCACACGTTTCCATCTCATCTTATTTGAAAAATGGGGGATTCCCGCCGCTCATAAAAAGGAGTTCCTATTTTGACATCGCAAAAATGTACAAACCCAAACCTGAATGAAGTCAGTTTGTTTGCGCTGGCTTCGTGTCTCCTTGCTACAGCACAGTGAATAAGGCTTAAATGGTTTGATGATGTTTTAATAAAGTGTGCGGTGATGGGATTGACCTACGAGCAGCTTCAAGCCGGTTCCAGCTTGGTCCTTTCAATCAGCGTCCTCCGGGACGGTCCGTGGCGCCGAGACCAGGCTACACCCGGATCTCGTCGTCGTCGTCCTCGTCGTCCATGTAGGTGAAGTCTTCCTCCCCCCGCGGCGAGCTGTACTTTGCGCTGTCCGTGTCGGCGTCGTGGAGCTGGTACCGGCTCTTCTCCTCGGCGAGCGAGCCGGCGCTGGACACGGAGCAGCTGTCCAGGTGGTGGTTGTTGTTGTTGTTCCTGGTCTGCAGCTCAGGGGTGTAGGGCTCCACCGCGGGCCTCGGCTGGTACAGGCTGCGGGGCGGCCTGGCGGGGGGAGGCGGCTCCTCCGCGTCGTCGCCACCGCTGCCGCCGCCGTAGGGGGCGAGGGGGGGCGACCCGCGGCCCTCGCTGCCCTTCCCCTCCTCGTAGCCGAGGTCGTCCTCCTCGGAGCCCTTCTTTTCCATCACGCTCAAGATGTCCCCCAGCATGGAGGGCCCCAGGTCGATGTGGAAGGACATCATGGACTCGGCGTGCTTCATCCCGCCTCCCTTGAGCGGCGCGGACGGCGGCAGATCCGCCAGTTCGCCGAAGGCGCGCTCGTCGAACTCCGCGTCCAGCGTCGCCATGGCCGCGGCCCCGTTGGCCGGCTTGCCCTCCGTCTCCGACAGCCTCTTCATGGGGCTGGAGGAAACGCTCTTGGGCAGGCGGTGGCCCCGGTTCACGTCCTCCTCGTTCAGGTACGGGAGGGATATGGCGTTTTTCACGAAGGCGGACGAGCCGCCGGACGGCGCCGCGCCGTACTCGTACTTGTCCCCCCGGTTGACCGACTGCGAGCGCTTGCTGCTCCGGAAGGTGCGGGACAGCAGCCCCGGCTTCGGGCCCGGCGACGCCGGCTTGGGCTTGGGCCTCGGCTCCGGCTCCCTGGGAGCTTCGCCCGAGCGGGTGCTGAGAAACGACGTGTCCCCGAAGGCGTCGCCCCCCCGGCCGACGTGCATGGTGTGCCGGAAGTCCCCCATGGGAGCGCTGATCATCTCGGAGGTGAGGTCGGCCCGGGACCGCCGCTTCGACTGGTTGGAGCTGTTCACCAGCTGCTTGAGTATCGGCATGATGCCGCCGCCTCACTTGCCAATCCGGAAAAAGGGAGAAAATGAGCCGGCTCAGTTCACCAGAGTTCTCTCCAAAAAAGGTATCGGCACGTCAGCGAAAGTACAATCCCAGGTGTTCACTGCGAGCAGCCATTCTGGTCGTCCTGCTCGGGTTTCATCTCACCGTGGGATCGGCCTGAGGAGAAGAATAGAGAGAATTAAAGCCTGATCGCTACTTCGTGTCCTTGGCAGGCGATGGTGGAAGCACGCAATTAATAAGACACCCAGATGTAACAGAACTGCTCTAAAGACCTTTGCCTGTTCATTTTCACATCACACCGCCATCGCAGTACTCACTCGGTCCTGATCTGCGTCCAGTATGGAAACTTTTTTTTATTTGCCGCAGCCTTAAAATGAAGCCTCACTCGACTAGAACAAAAAGGGAAAAAACAAAAAAAACTTTGTACATTCAGAGGTCGGTCAGGTGAAGCTTCACATGGGAAAATAAGTTTACATTCAAATGTCTTGTCCCAATTCTCCTGCTACATTTTTTGGATCCCCCCCCCCCCCCCGCTAAAACTCTACAGACTGCCGTCACATTCGGCTTTTCAAGTGGCCACAATGTCGGCCGTCTCTGCTGCGCTTTGGTGCCCATTCGGGCCCCCGACCGTTACATAACCAGCAAGACACCGGATACAGGGAGCCGGAGCGGTTCAAGCCAGCGAAAGGAAGGAAAATGAAGAGCAGCGGCTCCTCTTCAGTGTGGATCGACTCTCAGCCTCAGACTGCATTCCGTCCTCACCTTCGTCGGGAGATGAACCGCTTCCCTTTGTTATTCCCTCATTTGGGGCTTTTCCCCCCTTTTTTAGCCTTGGAGGCAGTTTGAGAACCTCCAACTGATTGTTTTTGTACAGTTCAATGGCTCAACCTCACGTACCACATCTTACCTACTCGGAAATGCCCGCGTCATTAATTCAAGTCGCATTACATTGTCTTCTAGGAGGAACGCAGGCCGCTCTTGATTTAACGCAGCCCACCTCCATCCTCCATCCCGTGCTGGCAGAACTTATTTCATGGACCCGACTGTCCTCCAGTCGCCAGAGACTCCAGTCCTGAAACATGACCTTGGATCGGAATCGAGTGGCGGGAAAAAAAAAACACCCACTTATGTGCGAGCTACAGTCGACCAGCCGCTCCATTTGTCAACGACACGGAGGAAAAAAGAAAAAAAAAGGTTTCAATTGTGTTTCATCCAGACGGCAATTTCGTCCGGGAGCCGGAGCCCACGTTCTGGCCCCGCGTGAGTCAATGAATGGGGGGGGGGGGCTTCACTCAACAATATTGCACGGGAACGTCACCCCATGACAACATTTGCATCTCTGACAAGAACCCATTCAAATGGAAAAGCAACTGTGGCACCAGAGAGAACAGAGGGCGGCTTCATGGAGCACCGAAGAAAAAAAAAGCAGCCGCTGGTTTTTTGTTTGCTGCTCTCTCAAAGAAAGAAAAGAAAAAGTATCAACTGACGGAGGTTTTCTCCTCTAGATTCAACAACTTCTTTCACGCACTGTTCTCACAAAACTAAAAAGACGACGACGAGCAACGGCGTCGACAAACGCCACTTGAAAAGCCTCACGATTAACTTCCATCGCCGCTTTGGTTCACGCAACAACTGGAATAGGCTTACTATTGGGGGGAGGGGGGGTATTTAAACAGCAACTGGAGGCCAAATTATAAGATTATATTGAGCAAACAAAATAGCCACAAAGTCCATGAGAGCCGACTGACCGGCGTAATGCAGAATGATCCATCGTTAGCTAAACCCTGGACCGCCGTGGCCAATTAGTATCCGCTGCCCAAAAAAAAAAAAAAAAAAAGGACAACTCCAACCGATCGTTTCCTCCCCGCTGCCCCGTGGTTCTGGATTCCTCTACGGCAACATCACAGCGAACTGGCGAGCTTCCCGTCTCTAAGCCGGCGCGCAGAGAGCGAGAGAGATTTGACCCCCTACACGGGGAGATCGGCTCGGATGGATGGATTAACCCTTCCTGGTGGCAACAGGCCGGGCAATATGACAAACCCCCGCTGAGCTGGACGGGGGAGGAGGGGGGCTTTGATGTGCCTCATCAAACCAAGATGGCTGTCAGGAGATGCTCGAATATCAGAAAGGTGCAAAAGCCCACACCTCTAGTCATTCAGGGAGAGGGCCCATTTCATGTCTTTGTGTCCGACCCCCCCCCAGGTCAGCTAGACCCCTTTATTGTGGGCATGACAAAAGATGAAGAACGGCCTGCAGGCAGCACTCTTATATTCAGTACTCTTTACAAGATAAATCATGGAGACTGGCAGGGTTCTGTGAATTATAAATGTCACGTAACATATTAAATTACAGTTTTATTCAATGTAAAACATATTTTCAGTTCCTTCAAGTTCATCCACGCTCACTGTCAACCAGTGTTAGGCGTCAACTCTAACTCTTTTTTTTCATGTACATTTTAAGTTCTAATCAAATGAAAAAAGTATACTAATACATTCATTGTGTCTGCTATTTTTCTTTAGATTTGAAATATGTGCAACTTGCTACTGAATGCAATGTATGTAACATGTTCCCCTCTACAACCAAATATCTAAAATCTTGTTGGAGTTCAGTAATGTCAAATTGTGTGGTTTGGATTGGAAATAATGTATAAAAATATTTTCGTTTGGGCCGTCTCTTCAGAACCTGTGAATTCCCCTCAGTGCCTGAACACTGTTGTGACATTCCTGCAGGATGGAGCACAGCAGACAGTGGGATCGACTACTGGGACCCGTCCCTCCACGTACACAAGCACCAGTGTGTCAGAGCAGCTATTCGGGCAGCGTCTTGTTCGTCTTAGTTGACACCGATTGCCTCGGGCGCCGCGCCGGCGACGAAGCCCTTACGTAACCGCAGGACTCCGGCTCCTGGTGACAGCGATTAAGAGCGAACCCATGCGGCGGCGACCCCCCACCCCCCCCTTCCCCGACAGGGGCAGGAGTGACATCATAACAAGTGGCGTGCTCATCAGTGTCACTCTTGTAATCCCGTGGATCACAGGCGCAAAGCAGCCCTCGGCTTCCCGACGCCACCTTACACACACACACACACACACACACACACACACACACACACACACACACACACACACACGCTTTGGCTGCTCATCCCGTGGCAGCTCGACTCCTGTCAAGTTAAAGCAACGGTCGCGCACCGACTGCGACACTTTCTGGTTTTATTTTTGACTCAAGTTTTAAATGTTTTAAAATGAGAGAGGAAGAATCCATCATTCATTCACAAGCCTCCTCGCAAGAGTTACCAGGAGACGCCATGAAGTTCAAAAACAGAAATGGAAGATAAAGCCTATGATGAGAATTGGGGGTATTTTTTGTTAACCAAGAAGCGAACGGCATCACAGGCAGGGATGTTTCCATAGACATTAGAATATCTGATCAGACGACCGTATAAAACTCTTCAGGCGTAGTTTGGATCTTTCCTCCTCCAGCTTTCAGTTGTCCTCTTTAATATAAAGTTCGACACAAACGCAGTAAAAATGAAAAGCTTTGTTTAACCTTGAATCCGACCCATTGTTTCCTTCCCGCTGTCCCGCTCCATTGGAATGCAAATACACGCGAGTCAACCGACGCCACCTATGACGTCGCTAATCTATTCGGCGGCGGCGCTGCATAAGAATGGGTCATAAGAAAGTCCTCAGCGCGGACAAAGAAGGTCTGCAGAGTTCTTTTGCGGGCTACTTTGTGAGCGCCACAGAACGTGGGGTTCCCACGGGGGGGGGGGGACGCCTGAACGCTGCCCCTCCATCAGCACCACACACAGGTTACACAGAGGGAACGTCGTACATCACAATCGCTTTCATTTCCGATTTGAAGAACAGGCCACGGCCAACGAAAGGAACCCGTTCTTCCCGTCCAACCTCATATCTACCGAGGGCCTGGCATGACGAAATGGCAGGAATGTCTCGAGCAGAAGCCGGAGGATGAGAAAGAGGGTGGAGTGCCGAGGGAAAGTGTGATCCCACACGTTACATAGAGAGCTTTGCACACAGCCAATATTAGTTCATTTTGAATATTTCCAGAGGAAACGTTACGCATTAAAACGGTAAAACAGTTGTTGCTTCTGCTGAATTGATCTGATAAAATCACTCTAAACACATTACTGGAACCAGTAAGTCCATTTGCTTTGCAGGACTTCAAACAGTCTAAATGGAAAGCAACTGTGTCGAGATAAAGTTTGTATCAGGTGGGATCGGCCACCATTGTGTCACACTACAACCTGCCGAACATGATTCTAGTCACTACGGAAAAGAACAGTTCTACAAACAGGTTCTCATATGGCAACTGTTTACATAACTCGCAATATTGCTGCTTTAAAAGAACTCCGGGTGGGAGCTGAGAGAAGATCGAAGACGTTGAGAAACGTTGAGCCGCCTGTAAGGCCTCCTGCCCCCCGGCCCGACCCGGGCGACTGATTCTTATCTCCACAAATACCCAGAAGCCAGGAGGAAAAGGCTTCCGTGGGAGCGCAGTGGGCTTCCGGTCAGACTGGCCTTTTAGAAAAGCCTGTGACTTCGGCACAGCGAGACAAAGCGCCTGGAGTGGGGGGGGGGCGTTCTGCAGCCAGGGAGCGGAAAGAGGAACCGAACAGAGAGATGGGAACTCGTTTATGGATTATGTAACGCGTTATAAATGGAGAAAGTGTTAATAAAACGTTAAGGGCTGCAACCCTCGGTCATGCCGGCACATTGACAGACGCTCCCTCTCCTCCTCTCCTCCTCCTCCTCTTCCTCCTTCTCGAGCGTTGAAATGCCCAACGCTGCCCAGTGCCCAGAACCAAAGTCAGCCAACAGTGGCGGGATTGTACCACACCGTGCGTCTGTCTAATTAATAGCTGAAATCCGCCCCATCGGTCTCTGACAAATGGACGGCTTTCACGCCTGCTACCAGAGGGCCGGATCTCGGGCCAAGTGGTTGAATTGTGCGTCCAGCGGCTGTTGGACAACAACACAAAGCAGAATTTCTACTGAGGCTTGTGGTAAAAAAAACAAAAAACACGACAGATGGAATGCAAAATGCTCCGTTGCGGCGGGGATGCCAGACGCACAGTTGGCCTGCACAATAGTTAATGAGTTCAAATAGTTTACAGGCGGCCATTTGTCCAAAGCAGGAGGGTGGGAAGCATTAACGGGTCGCTCCGAACGAGACCTTCGGGGGAACCAAAGGCACCAAAAGATGAGCCGTGGCCAGTGGGACAAATCTTTTATACTCTACAACAACAGGACCCGTACGCGCTTTGGTGGAACCAGCAGGAGGCCGCTCAGTGTAACCGGGACACGAGTGACCATTTTCGGTGCAGTGTCAACTTCTAAAAGCGGCTTTTGGCCCTTGTTATTTCTAAAAGTGGTCCCCCCCCCCCCATAGAAGGGCCTCGGGGAACAAGCCCCGATGACAAGAGGTGCTAATGAACCTCTCAGCAGACAAAAGAAAAACACACAAATTCACAAAAATGGCAGCTTGGAATAGAAAGGCATTTCACAGCAGCGTTGAAAGTTGAAAAGAATAAAACAAAATCCAGCCACAACAGGACGGAGATAAAGACGGGAGAGTATGACGTTGTAAAGCAACACCGTTAATGGGATTGTGCCCTAGCTTGATTTACCCACATTGTCATTTGGTTTGTGCTATGGGGGTGGGGGGGGGGGCTGAGAACACATGGACTGATTTCATTTCAGCAGCTCAGCTGTTGATCTGTGTGCGTGTCACAACCTAATCTGGACTTAATGTGCGCGAGACGCTAAAGTCACGTCTTTGCAGTAGACTAACATCTTATTTCGACTTTATTACTGAATTATGTTTTTTTCCCCTCATTTGATAATCGACTGAAATGTTGCCGTTAATAAAAGTGTTTTTATTTCAATTTCAATTCAACACACGGGTGTTGGGAGCATCGATCAGACCGAACCAGTAATGTGAGGGCGTCACAGTTTTGGGTGTGAGTTTAAGTTGACAAGTTCAAAAGATAAAAGCCACAAGTGATCAACATGTAATAAGTGGCAGCTTTGAAAGCTGTACATCCGTCGGGCAGATTCTGAGAGCTCTGAGGAATCGCCACCTGATTCAGTCAGGAATGTCTTTTGAGCTGTCAGCGGTGTGATCATCTTTCTTTTATTCACATCCGGCTTGATGCTTTGATTCGGTAACCAAGCAACAACTTGGATTTGGTGGAAACATGTCGGCGAGCAGGTTTTCATCAGTGTAGCGCTTTCAGGTGGCCTGTTGCAGCTGTGTTTACTTGTATATTACCTCTGTGGGTATATATATATATATATATATATATATGTGTGTGTACGTGTGTGTGTAAAACGTCAAGTGCGAGACTAAAGTCCATCAACTTCCCCTGCAAACAGGTTCAAGGTTCCTCGGCGGCGGCAGAGTCCCAAACGCACAACTCAAAAACAGAAACTCAAACCCCGCTGGTCCCAAGCGGCGGACAGATTTCTCTGTAACGGAGGAAACGGCAACGTCACACAAACGAACAATAGAGCAGGACAAAAAAACAAAAAGGGCAGTTCATTAGGCCGACATGAACCACACCCAAATCTCACGCACACGCCTGTAAAACAGACACATCCACATGCCCTCGGCGGTGATTCTCATTCATCGGATACGCAGAGACAAAAAGGGCCCACGATGCGGATCTACGCAGGCATTGTGGTCCCGAAGCCTGGACCACAATGCCCAGCTGCACAGCCACGAGTGTGTGTGTGTGTGTGTGTGTGTTGAATGTGGGACCCAGTCATAGTCGAGTCAACATA